TGGCCAGGATCGAACCCGTGCTGCACAGGCTGCGGACAGCTTCACAGCGCTGTGCTCAACTGCCTGCGCCACTGGGGGAGGCCCTAAATTATTATTGTTATTATTACTAGTGATTGAGCATTATCTTTCGAGAAACTAATTTTTCTTAGGACTTTTCTAAAATCACCATTGCATTTAACAACTTTATGTCCATAGTCAATAGATTCCAAAAGACACTTTTTTCAGTCTGATTATTTTGATGATTGCTTTTTCATATTCTTGTAGGAAACCAACATGTCATTTCTTATCCCTTTGGTCTTTCTTTACAGTAACTTTTAACATAATAAGAATAGTAATCACCATCAATCTAGATACTGCACTTAGCCACAAGATTGGCTTTCATTCAATTTTGGTTGGAAATAACTTACTTGAAAATGAATTGGTCTTGTTTTTGGCACATTTAAGTTGTATATGCCGTGGTTGAGTGGAGGTCAGAAAAAAATTTGGAGTCTAAACACTATACAAAGAAAAACATCATTAAAAAAAGTATCTGCTACTAAAGTATTCTGCAACTCTGCTAAATGTGGTTTCCCATGAGGCTCCTTCTTACCTGAAAATGCCTATGTATATTTACATCCTTCAGAGTGGTGCCAATAAAAATTTTGAATGATGCGTAAGTCACGTCCAGGGCTAATTCAAATGGCGTAAAGGAGAAAATGAACTTCTATTCTCTTTTTTTTTTCTTTTATAAAATAGCACTAAACAAAACCATGTCTGAGCTATAGCCAACATTGTATCAAGTCAACTCATGCTATTTTATCTTCAGTTGTGCCTGACTAAGGAGACTGTGCATTTGCAACAATTTTTTTTCTTCTAATAACTTGACATACTTTCCTAAACATTGTTAACATCACCAGCAAAAAAACATTTCAGTATCCGTGTGTACATTGCCATTGTTAAGTATCTAATTACCCTGTTCCCCCCAACTCTTGTACTAAAGGATTACACAATCTTAAATGGGTAGGAGTGGCCCAGACTAATCCACAAAAGAAATATAGTAGCACATGCACACAAACCCCTGGACATGTAGGGCCCAAAGTGGATTATCCAGGAATGGGAATTATATGAGAGAGTAGGGGAAAAAAAAACAAAACACCTAGTTCACAAAAATTCTAGTATCTACATTAAAGAACATTCACTTTATGCCTAGGAAATTTTCCAGATATGGCAAAATAAAAGCCTTCCCCGATCTTCATAAACCAAATGGAAATGAAATATAGTCTCACAATCCTATTCCTTCTATACATATATTCAGTATGCATGGTTCTCACTTAAAATGAGAATGATGAGCTAATTCTCTTGAGTGGGTAGGTTTTAGGATGTTACTATCTTGGTATTTTGCTTGTAAAGTCATTTATTGACAATATTAGACCCTTAAGTCAGACTGCTAAGAGATATACAACATACTATCATTTATGTTAAGTGTATTAAGCATACTAGAAGTTGTTTTCCAAGTTTTCTCCCCAAAATTATCTTCTGTGAATGTAATAGATTTGTTGTAATTTGTGAGCTTACTTTAATATTTTCTCATCAAAATAATCTCAGCTGTCTTTCAAATTCTGTTTTTCCTAGAATCAAAAGATAGATGAGGGGAATGTAAAATTATTTGACATTTGGATAGGGTAGAGATTTATTAATTTATTGCAAATGTTTATTAAACCCATTATACAGAATGAATGACATCCCCCCAAAATATGTCTACCTGAAGTCCTTTTATTTAAATATTTGCAGAAACAAAAACAGGTAGCTGAGTGTCAGCATAGTATGATAGCTGTTAATGAGTTTGAGCTTTTTGAAAATTCTGGTTTCATAGCAAAATCAAGGACTTTGCTTTTCTACCTCTCTCAGTCAATAGAGGAGAGAACATGGATTATATTGACATTTATATGAATGTTGTGACACTCTACCTGTGTAATTTTATGAAACTCAGAAATCCTATATTATTCTGCTGATTTCACTGAGATAATTTGTATGCTGGACAGCCAAAAACAAACAAGTTAAAAAAAAAAAGTAAACCAATCCAAAACAAAACAAAACAAAAACTTGTAAAATGTAGAATTAGCATGGGTTTTGGAGTTGGAAAGGCATAAATTTGAATCCCATTCTTTAATAACTATGTACCTTGGATACTGGGTAAGGCATTTAGTAGTATCTCTAAGCTATAATTTTGTATTCTGTAAAATAGAGATAATGTGATTTTTTTACAGGGCTATTGCCAGAATTGGAAAAATAATATGCAGAGGTCTCATAATGTGGTATCTGACACAAACTTGGTAGTGTTAGAATTGGGGTTCAGGCAAGCTTTGAAGCTTGGGACCTATATAGAGAGAAAGAACACCTTTGGGCAAAGATTTGATCATGCCTAGGCTTTATTTATTCCCATACATTTCTACTCACATGGTGATTTCTGGTGGTAAGGTGTGGGGTTCACCTCCTTTGCTAGATTGGGGCAAAGGTGTGGAATTCACTTTAAACAAAGAGTTAAGAGTTGAGCTGGATACATGTGCTCTCAGATAAGAAGTAGTCTTTAATACCATATGACCTGGCAATTCCACTCCTAAGGATCTACCCAAAGGACACAAAAATATTGATTCAAAAGAACACCTGTACACCTGTGTTTACTGCAGCTCGATTTACAATAGGTAAAACCTGGCAACAACCCAACAACCCAAATGTCCCAAAATAGATGACTGGATTAAGAAGATGTGGTATATATACACAATGGAATATTATTCAGCAATCAAAAAGGATAAACTCATGCCATTCGCAGCAACGTGGATGGAGCTAGAAAGCATTATGCTCAGCGAAATAAGCCAGAAGGAAAAAGAAAAATATTGGTTGGTTTCACTTATATCAGGAATATAGGGGAACCAAATAAGACATCAGTGTAAAAAAAATAACAGTACAAAACACAACAAAGCAAAAATGAACAATTATAAATCAGAGACATCCTGCAGGGTGGGAGGAGGGAGAGGGATCAGAGGGAGGGAGGGAGGAGCACTGGGGACTGAGGTGATGGTGCACGGATGCATTGGTGAAGGAAACTCTATGGGGACTACACCTGAGGGGGTGGGGGGAAGCAAATATTGTTTAAAAATGAACAATGATGTAAAAAATTAATATAAAAAATAAAATTAGACAAAAAATAAAATCTTAAATAGGTGGTTTTTGTGACGAAGTACTTCAAAGTACTCCTGAACTTAATTATAAATTATGCAATTTTCTTTAACAAAAAGAGAAGAATTCCAAATCTGTACTTTTTTCTTTGATGGCAAGTAGCTATCAAAAGCATTCTATCTAGAAAATATTTTAACAACCCCCCTGCCACTACCAAACAACACATTCTGGCACATCAAGGTAAATCAACATTTGTCAAAAAAGCCCAACTGCTTTATTGAAGGAGTTTTATGAAAAAACTTCATAAAAATAGTTGTTTGGAAGTGCTTCCAAAATTATGAATTTCTAAAAATGGTCCTAAATCTATAAAACCTCATCTATGTGCACATAAAAAGCTCAGGAGTATAATTTTTTTAACCAAAGTATGTTTTGAACCTTTGTTAAAATATAAAATATATTTAATATAAAATGCATTTGCTAAAATCAAAAACACATGTATTAGTTTTTAGCAACTGATTAATTCAGGGACATTGGACTTATCTAGACAATCAAAAAAGTGCTAATTGTGGGCCACTGTCATCACTGAAGATACAGAGGTGATTAGGTACAGCATCTGGCCTACGGAGCTTCTCAGACTAGTAAGGATAAACTGGTAAACTAAGGCAATAAATGCAATTGTAGAAGCAAGCATAAAGGATTCATAGAAACTAAATAGAAGTTAACACTTCATGCTCAAAGGAACCTTCTTGAGAGAGGTTGTATCTAAGCTGATTGTTTAGGCCAAGTAGATATTTATTAGGTAAAAAGGTATGAATTTTCTTACTCCTATCTACAACAGACCTAATTCTGATTCCCAGACACTGTATGCATTGTTTCTTACTCTTTGGTTATCAAATTATTTCATATATATCCAGAGTTGCCCAATTATCTAGTTTTTCAAAAATGTTCCCAAATCATACTCTTCAAACTGAATGTAATTTGGAAATTCTCAGACTGTTTACTACTGTATTAAATTGTGGCTATGGTTGGAAGATTTTTTTTCTTATAAACAATATAACACTATTTGAACGTGTCTTTGAAATGTTTGATTTTTGTTATATTTGAGGTATTTTGAAACATTTTTTAAAAGGTATGTTAGCATTCTTGTAATTAAAATTCACTATAGTTACCTTTAGAAAAAAACCTATAAAATATAATTAAACTGTAATCCAATCCCACAAGTGTATTACTAGTGTTTAGGGGAGAGAGAAAGTTAATAGCATCTGCTTGTGTTATTTCTTTTATTATATATAGTATAATACAAGGGCATTCCTCTGTTTTATGAATGGAAATCGTTATATATTTTTCTTACAATATAGGAATTGCATTATTTACTCTTAAAAATATCACAGGATTACTTCAGCTCCTTTTATTTCAATACTTGTTTTTTTAGGTAATTTGAAAATTTTACTGACTCAGCTCATTTTGAAATATCTTGCTTGTGTAACCATCTGTTATGTATCTTAAGATTGAAATTTAGGTCAAATTACAAATTGAATTTAACCTTACAAAGAAAATAAGTGTGCCATTTTTAAAAATTGCATTCTAAATTTTAAGCACAATAGATCAAAGTATATCTTATTTGAATAAATATACTGGAAAAGAAGTCTCAATTATTTTCTCTCAGACATTCTTAAAATAGTCTCTGTTCTCAATACAAAATGTGAGACTTAGCTTTATTATTTTAAAGGAAGATGAAAAGTTGTTTATTTTAAAAATTTAATGATTTTGCTTTCAATTATGGAAATTGTCCTTTGTGGACATCTGTGTTTGAATTATATCTGACATTATTTTTATTTCTTAAGGCTATGATTAAAAGTTTCATGGATGTCTACCAGCTCGCAAGCACCAGAATCACTACATTAGAGAAGGAAATGACATCGCATCGAAGTCACATCGCAACCTTGAAATCAGAACTTCACACGGCTTGTTTACGTGAAAATGAAAGTTTGCAATCAGTAAGCCCTACAATATATTTTTCTTCTTTGGATCTTGGGTCACATTTGCATTCATATTTTTACTGCTACTGAGATCATTGGCCAAAATATATAATTCACAGTAAATTAAGCAACATAAAATTATTAATGTGGATAAAAATTGGAATGAAGAAAAGCAATTAATTTTTCCATTGTATTATGTTTAAAGATATGCATATTGTTATCAATGCTAAAACACTACATTGAGATTCTTTTGTGTTTGGCAGTGCAGCTGACAGTTGGATTTGGCAGTATGCATAGTTAAAGCTTGCAACTGTCTGAAGACTCAGTGTGTCCCATTAAGACAGAATATTATTAATTATGCGTATAACCAAAATGGTAATTAGAACATGTGATTATTCTCTGTAGAAAACTAGACTTATCCATAATACATGCCTAACTAAAGATGCATGTTGTGATTCATCTGTATGATTAAAATTCAGTTTCAACAGTCATTTTATGTCTTAAAAATTTAGCCCATGATGAAATTTGGACTCATTGAAGACTAAACAACATTTTCTACATTTGAAATGTGTTTAGAGGAGCATCCAAAAATGAATACATTTGTGACATAAAGGATGAAAATAAACATTTACACTTTTTTTCATGAAAGGCAGATATATCCACAGTGAGATCAGAGAATTATCAATAATTAGAGTACATTTTTTCTTACTTGGCTTGATTACGGTGCATAAAGCTAACATTTAAAGAAAACCAGTATCATTTTGCCATTCAGCTGTTGACCATTTCAATGATTTATTTAACAGAAAAAGAGTTAGCATTAAAGCAAACAGATGGATAGCTCTGATTTTGTTCTTCAACTCCTTTCAGATATTAGCTCCAGTGTGAACATCCCAGTGAAGCCTTTATGAAACCATGGTATTTAAAATTACAACCACCAACACTCTCCTTTAATCCCCTACAAACTCTACCTCACTGTTGCCTTACTTGGCTTATCTACCTTGCTTAATATTTTTCAGAATACTACTTAACATCCATTGACTACTAGTGTATTTTCTTTACTCAAAGTAGCCTGTTTGCTCCCTTCCATCAGTAGAATATAAGTGTCATAAAGTAAGCAATTTTGGGTGTTTTCTGCTGTAAGGGTACTCTAGTACTGAGAATAGATGGGCCCACAATAGGTGCTCATCAAATGATTATTGAATGAAAAATACTAATAATATGTGAACAAACCAGTTATTTGTGACCTCAGATGTGAATTCAGTTGAGTTCAATTTTTAAATGGCTTTCTCAATTTTTTAATGACAAAGTAATAAATTTGATCTTTCCCAAGAGAAAATAAAATGAAGAGGAAACTATTTTAAAAATTGGGTAAGTATTTGGAATTTGATCTAGCCTTTCTCTATAATATATTCATAGATCTTCCTTTTAATCCTCTGATCTCAGTGGTTAACATTATATCATGCTGTTTAGTTTGTGTTATTTTTGTTGGATAGGGTTGTACTACTGTTTATTACTGTTATTTGTGGGAAAATAGTTGTGTTTTAACAGAAGACAAACTCAACAAATTGGGATTCTTCTTGATATTTTTATGGGAGGGTGCTTAATGTACATTATATCACTTTACTTCTCAACCTTTCTCCCACTTCTGAACATGTGCATGATATGCTCATCATTTCATTTATAAGAGGTGGCTCGCCATGGGAGTGACTCTCAAAAGTGCACTTGTGTAACATAAACCTATCTCCAGGCTAGTCTGTGATGTGTCCATGTAGGACAGTGCTGCCCAGCCCCATGTCTCAATGGGATATATACTGTTCAGTCTATCCCCTTAGTTAAGAATTACTATTTTTTAAAAAAAATAATAATTTTGTATAATTTCTTTCAATGCATGTGCATATGCATCTTCTAACTGGAACTTTTTAAAAAAGTATTTCTTTTTTTTTTTTTTTTTTTTCACTGGAAAAGAGATTATTGTTTACAGTCTCCCTATCAGCACTTATCTCAGAAAAATTTTTACCCCCAGATACAAGGGAACAAAGTATTGCATATCCCTTTATATACTTCACATATTGTATTCGCTGATAATCTTTTTAGAGCAAAGGTTTTTAAAGAAGGCTTAAAAATGGTGACTTACAGGGCCTCCCTGGTGGCACAAGGGTTAAGATGCAACCTATGAAGCTATTCACAGCCACTGCAACACGAGTTCGATCCCCGGCCAGGAAGTTCCCCATATGGCACAGCAGACTTCTGACTCGCCTGCTGCTCCCCTTAGCAGTGTATTTCAGTAGATCTGCCTGTTCTGAAAAAGTATTTCTTTTAATGAAGTGTTAATGACTTTATTACATCCTTATTAATACTTTGACAGTATAGGATTTCTCCCCTCAAGTATGGTCACCACAGCTCTCCCACAACCAAAGCCCCCAAAATCCTCTTCCACAGTCCATTGTGCTCCCTCCCCCCTTATCCCTCACTATTCTCAACTCTCTTCACCCACCCCTCCTGGATGCCTCAGACCTATCAGCTTTCAAGGGTTGGTTTTAAAGTTTGTCTTTGTTTGACCCTTTGTTTCTTTTCTCTATATTCCACATATTAGTGACACCATCTGGTCTTTATCTTTCTCCTTTGACTTATTTCACTTAGGATTATCCCTGACAGCTCCATCCATGTTGCTACAAAGGGCAGGAGCTTATCTTCTTGATGGCTGATTAGTATTCCATTGTGTATATATACCACTTCTTCTTGATCCAGTAGGAACTCTACAAGTGAGGTATATTTCACAGATGAGAGGCATTATAGGCTAATAATTAAGAGCATGGAGTTAGGAATTATGTCCATTAGTAATACAATCAAATGTAAATAACAGAAAACCTGATAATGTGACTAAAGAAAATACAGGTTGTTGTTATTTTCTTATATAGTAAGAAGTCTAGAAGTAAGTGACTAAATCAGTTTAGTGGTTCAGCTTCTCTAATTTCTCTGTCACGCCATCATAATAGTAAGATAGCAGCCAGCTCTAAGAATTGTAATCAGGGGCCTCCCTGGTGGCGTAGCGGTTGAGCGCTGGATTGCAAAGCTGCCCATAGCCTCTGCAGCAACGGTTCGATCCCTAGCGGCGAGGGTCCCACATGGCGCACAGACCTCTCCTGCTGCCCACTGCTCCCCTCAGCAGTGTACTTCATCACTCTGACTGTTCTATTATCTGCTCTGGCTCTGGTGAATTCTCTCACCCCCCCCCACGCCTCTGACTGTACTCAGTGCTTGTATAAATAAATAAATAAATATTTTTAAAAAAATTGTAATCATATTCAAGTCAGAGGGATGAATTGGCCATATCTGTGACCACACAGTAAGATATCTGCTTTTTATCTATATAAAATTAAGTCCTGGAGGCATTCCATTTAAAATAAAAAATTATGTACTTATATAAAAATATGTATTATTTATATAAATGAAAGAAATATATTTAGATATATGTATATTTATTTCAATATTTATAAATAAAGATATAGTGATATATTTACATATTTACATTTTAAAAAGAAAAACCTTCCAAGGAGGTTCCAAATGTTGTTCTATTTATGTTCCATTAACTCTAAATGGGTCAAGTGGCTACCCCTACCTATGAGTCAAAGGACAAAAGAATTGAGAATTGAGTTAACTACTTACACTGTGTGCCATAGACGTCAGATAAGCCTGGATATAAATTCCAGTTCTGTTCATTGCTCATCCTGTGGATTGGGTCTCAGGGTTTTCATTTATAAAATGGGGATAATGATGCTACTTTCTAACAAAGATGTTTGGAAGTTCTAGTGAGGAGAAGTACTTTGGACTTTGCCTTGCACTTAGTAGTTAAAAAAGAAGTTAGCAATTGTTTTTATAGACCATTTGTCTTGATATAAATTCATTGGATTGCACCACAAGAAAAACTTCTTTACTGACCCAACATCTTATTTTGTTTTCCTTCCTCCTGTAGCCTTGAGCATGTGACTCCTCTTGTAATTATCATTAGTAAATTCCAATGGCTGAGCTCTCTGCCTCTCTGCAACTTGTCATCCCCTCCTTTCACTACATATTCTAGGAGGATAGTCTATACTTGCTTCATCTGATTTAACTCCTGAGCCTTATTGTTCTCTGGCTTCTGAGCCTATTATTTCACTGAAACTACTTTCTCAAAAATAACCAGTAATTTTCTGTTCACCCCATATATCCATTAGTTCCTTCTCATCCCTTTTCATCTTTCTGCAACATATGAGGATTGTACCTATCTCTTTAATACTCTTCTATGTTTCATTTATTATTGACTTTCCTTCTTTGGTTATCTGGCCTCTACTTACCTGAGCTCTGTATTCTTTGTATTATTGGTTATTAATACATTATCAATGTATTCATTCAGTAATTCAATATTTATTCAGTATTTATTATTACTGTTAACTCAGTATTTATTCAGTATTTACTCTGTGGCAGATACCGTTCTGGTCTTGGGGATACTGTGTGACTCAAAACAGACAATCCTTATTCTCATGAATTTAAAATGTAATAGTGGAAGCAATGATTTTCATGCACTCACACTAATTAATTTGTAGTCACTAACCAGGAAAAGTGCACTAAAAGAAGAGGTCTTAAGTGTGTAAAATTTTTCTTTAAACAGATGAGCTTCTCCTACACTAATTTTCAGTGAAGCTTTTCTAGGCTCAGTGATTTTTGAGATATCTGGGGATTACATGAGGGCCATTCAGAGATGGAGACTTTCTCCAGTCACTGGGAGTGGGCAGAACATCTACAAAGGACCTGTGATGGAAAGAGAAATTGAGAAAGACCAGTGTGACTCTCTTTATAGAGGGCAAAGGCAAGAGTGATCTGAGATAAGAATGATCTAGAAAGCAAAGCTGGGGTAAGACTGGTAAGAAGGTAAGAAGGAGTAACATACTTGGATTGCTTTTTTTAAAAGTGTGAAGAAATAATTCTGTGTGAATTGTAAGAGAAAGGGGTGTGTCAGACAATTCCTAGAGTTTTTGGGCTTTTGGAAATGGATCAATGATCTAATTTACTGAGAGAGACAGTGGAACAGGCAGGGGTATTTGTTGTTTAATTTTGAGTTGTGTTGAGTTTGAGTTACTTTTGAGACATCCAACTAGAGGGATCCAGAAGGTTGCTTGACATGGAATTCAAGCCAGATGCTAAGTCTCTAGCTTGGCATATAATTTTTAAGTCATATATAGTTAGAGCTTGAAGCTATTAGCAAGAGTGACCCTACATAAGAGGGTTTATAGAGTAAGAAGAAGGAAGCTTGAAAAACTGCAACATAAAATGCTTGTGTAGAAGAGGGTAAGATAGTAAAGAAAAAGAAGGTTGTAAAGGAACAGGCATAGAGGTAAAGGAAAAACCAAGAAAGGATGATGCATGAAAATAGAGAATTTTAAGAATAACATATCAAAACTATTATTGCTGCTGAAGATCAAGTAAAATGAGGATTGAAAATGACCTTTGGGTTTAATGCGCAGAGGCCCTTGGTAACCTTAACAAAGTCTCTTTCAGCAAGAGGTGGGGGAATAAGTAGGAGTTGACAAAAAAGAAGAGTAAATTTAAACAACTATTTAAGGATTTAGCTATTAAGTGTGAGACTTAGGAATAGGATGTTCAAAGGATTCCAGGAGTTCTGTTTTAAGACAGAATGACTTGACTGTGCTTCAGTGTCTTCTTAAATAGAAGCCTGTAGAGGTCTGGCCTTCACTTTATTGTCAATTCTTACCATTTCTGTTGTCACCTATTCGCATGTTAGCTTGGTTTTGATGAGTATTTGCGTGCTATTTTTTTTCCATACTTTCCTTTCAACCAAGCTATATTTTATATTTACAGGAGCTTTCTTGTTGAAAGACATAGTTTGATTTTGTTTAATTTGTTCATTTGACAACTTGTCATTTAATTGGATGATTAGCCTTTATTGACAATTATTGATAGTGTTGACATTTAGGAGTTTTTGTCCATTTTACTTGTTTTATGAGGATGAAGTTGATAAAGACACTGTCTATGTCATCGTGGGTTCCTTTTCTAGCAAGGGAAACAGGCACAAATCAGAAAAATAGGTGTAAATAATGTCTGTGGGAGCACAGACCTTATTTCTAATATTGTAAGAAGGAGAGATGAAATGAGAAGATAAAATATTTGTAGTGTCTTTGGAGAACATGTGGCAATTTGGCATTTTGTTAAGAGGAAGAACAATGGAAATAAATATTTTTTTCTAAGCAGTAGGCATTATGTATAGTGCACTATGTTTAATGAATTAAATTATATAATTTTTAAAAATTTTTATTTTATTTATTTATACAAGTACTGGGTACAGTCAGAAGCACGGGAGGGTGAGAGAATCCACCAGAGCCAGAGCGGAGAGCAGAGCAGAGCAGGCAGACTGATGAAGTACACTGCTGAGGGGAGCAGCGGGCGGCAGGAGAGGTCTGCTTCGTCATGTGGGACCCTCGCCCGTTGGCCGGGGATCGAACTGGTGTTGCAGAGGCTGCGGACAGCTTCGCAACCCAGCGCTCAACTGCTGCGCCACTGGGAAGGCCCAAATTATATATTTTTTTTTGTGGAAAATATAAGAAAATGTATTGCTCTTTTACTTCACTACTCCCTTTCAGTTAAAGACATCCAATTCATCCAGCTAGCCTGTACCCAATGGTTCCCAAGACTGTTTGCAACAGTCACTCCAAACCCCACCTTTGTATGTTCCTAATCCATTTTTACCCCACCAAATTCCTGCTTTTTACTCTATAATTCAATTTGATTCTGCCCCTGTTTTTCTCTTGATGCTCTTATTCCAACTTTCTAGTGTTTGCTGTTTTGACCATTCTCAAAACTATTACTGGGTCTTCGAATGAACTAGCTTTTCTCCTCCAATGTCTGCTCCACAACTGTTATCTTCTTCCCACCAGCCCCTCATATAAGACTTTTAGCATCAGGCAGTGTGAGTATGCTTTCTGGTCCTGTTATTAGTTATTCATCTAAAACTCTGAACATCAATTTTTTTATTTGCAATGTGGATAAAAATGCTTATATTGAGTGTTGTTGTGAGGATTAAATGCATAGTATTTGAAGTATTAGTAGGTGCTCAATGAATATTTATTCTCTTCTCTACACAAAATTTCTTTGGTAATTACATTCACTTCCTAAAGCTAAGCTAGTAAGAAATATATGTAATGATGAGGAAATATTTTTATGGGCAGGTAAAAGAACTAAAACAACCTTTAAGTCAGTGATTTTAGTCATACTAAGTACAGAATTAATGCTGGTTGTTACTGCCTATTTAATGAACTAAGGATGGTTAGAATATGCTCATTACTATCTTATCCAGTCATTTGACTGGATAAGAATGAAAAATATTTGTTACTAACTAGAAATTTAGTATATTATATTGTTGTGATGCATAGAGAGTGGTCATATTATAGTCTTTATCATGCTTCAGGTGACATTTTCTTTCTCTTTTTTTTTTGTTCAACAACATATAATAATATTGCCAGAGTTTATCCAAGAGTTCTCATCATTTGTACACTTGCCAGTATTTTAACATTTTCAGTATGTTGGTTTTTGACCTATTAACTTAGGGCTACTCTGAAGCTTTTGTCTTGAGTAATAGTAACCAGAATGGGCTTTGAGTAAAGAGCTTTTGAGTCCCATACGACTCAGTAGAGAAGAGTACAGCAGCCAGAACCAATTACATGTGGGTGTTTGGAGATAGGCACATTCACAGCTCTGAAGAAACGCATGATAGCTCAATCTGTGAAGCATAGAATGCCAACTCCAAATACTTTGTTATGACTTATGATACTGCAAGATACGGTATTGATTTGCCTATTTCCACTGTATGTTTAGCAGAATGTTTTTAATTCTATATTATTATATTTATGAGAAAATAATAAATTATCAGAGGAGCACTCCATTTGGTATCTTTGCGGGATAGAGATCTTTGCATCACTGTTCAAATTATGTCAGATTTGATGGTTGTCAAGTGTTATGACATTGTTACTAAGGTGAAAAGACTTAGATATTTTGTTTAGTTAAGATAAAAATTAAAAAGTAAGCCCCTTTCTCACATTTGTTTTCATTACCTTTTCTTGAGAGGGAAGGATTGTTTGATAATATTGGTGTTGTGTGGATGAAATGCCAGAACTTACTCCAGGTAAGTTGCTTTCCTAAACTTTCACATACTTTGTCTTAGTTGATTCATGATGATTATTATTGCGGTTTTTAAGCTCTTTAAGAAATTTTTAAATGATGGCAAGGGGCTAAGTGTCAGCACTATGAAGCAATCCGCAATTGCAGCACGAGTTTGATCCCTGGCCAGGGAGCTAACCCACATGGCACAGCAGACCTCTCCTGACTTGCCTGCTGCTCCCCTCAGCAGTGTATTTCAGTCAGTCTGCCTTTTCTGCTCACCACTCTGTCTCTGGTGAATCCTATCACCCCCCACACCTCTGGCCTACACCCCAACTCTTGTATGCTTAAATAAATAAATTTTTTTAAAAAAAAGAAAAATTTTTAAATGAGCGATGAGCCATGACTTCTTAATTTTTTTGAGAGAAGCCATATAGTGTGGATCAGCAGTATAAAGTATGATTCTGGAATTTGAAATCTTGTTGCTAGGTTTTTTTAAGAAACTAATCAGATTTGAACCAAAGGCCTCTGATTCCATATCTGGTGTTTTCCTGAGAGACTGCAGTGTGAATGAAAACAAATACCTACCATGATGGCACTTTAAATATGTTGGAGAATTCAGCTGCTACACCAATAATTAAACAATGATGTTAAAGTAGAATCTCAGAGTGTTATAAGGGCACATAACTGGCTGATCTACTTGAGCACTTGAAGTATTGTTTGAAAAAAATGAAGATTAAGGGGAGTCTGGCAAGATGACAGCAGGACGAAGACACTGGGCCTGCCCTCTCTATATACTCACAAGTAGCTGGCAGCAGAACAAAACCAGTAACCCTGAAGAAGAAATGGGTGACTTAAGTACATAACAGAATTGATGGTCCTGAGCAAAAGGGTGGGAAAAACTTTAAGTGAACATTATATACAGTGACACTGAAGCAGTACAGCCCACAAGTGGGAGGGGTGTCTTCTGCATGGAACCCCCTACAGTTGCTGACAGAGGGGCACACATTAACAGCAGGGCCTTTGGAGACCTGGCACTGCATTAGATAAAAGGGTACATAGAGTTGTTGTCAAGGAGAGAGGGTACACTATTGGGAACTGTAGGAGCAGGGGTGTGGAGTCAAGATAACTACCTTGAGCCAGAGGCTCCCAATATACAACAATCAGAGCCAAACTGTTGGGGAGAGCCAGGTCAGCTCACCTGTCACTTTAAAGAGGAGGCAGCTACTGGAAACCTGAGGTTGGGATATTTAAGTACTTAAAGAAAAACATTTCAGCCTAGAATTCTTACCCTGAAAGATTACCATTCAATACAGAGACAAGAGTGAGGGGCTTCTTATGCTAGACACAAAAGACCACTTATTGTGTGATTCCATTTATATGAAATCACTAGAATAGGTCCATCGATAGAGACAGAAAGCAGATCAGTGGTTGATGGGATGATGGGGGTGAGGGGAGGGAGCATAGGGGATGCTGCAGGCATAATAAATTGTTTAATGGGTATGGGGTTTCCTTTTGGGATGATGGGAAAGTTCTAGACCTGAGCTGGTGGTGATGGTTGAACAACACTGTGAATATACTTGATATCCCTAAATCATATATTTTGAAATTGTTAAAACTGTAAGTTTTATGTTGCATTTTACCATATTAAGAAAATATTCCTTTTACTTCTATGGTGGTATGGGGTAGGCAACTAGATTGTTGTTTACACAGAACAGCAATGTCTTTTACCGGAAAGTAGCATGATACAGAATCAGGAAACTTAGACTGTAGAACAACCTTTGTTATCAACTTACCACAAAGCTTTAGAAAACAAAATATCACAATTTCTTTGGTCTTGGTTTTTCCCGTCTGTAAAAGGCAGGGTTTCAATGAGACAAAAATCTAAATTTCATCTCAGTCCTAAAATTCATTGATTGAAGTCACAAATGCTGATTTTGAATATATAGATTCTAACTATGTTTTCTTTTGTTCATGCTTCAATTTACAGCAATAAAATGAGTGTATGTTCCTAGATTTATAATAGCAATTATATTTCAAATTTGGCTATATTCAACACCAATAACCCATTTATAAATGTATACTATTTATATAAATCTTACAATATAACTTGTAACTAGGTAGTCAAAAAGTCCCCAAAGTAACCTGAAAATGTATTAGCATATTTGTAAGACGTATTTCCTTTTTTTATGCAAAGTTTTTTTGGTATTTAATATGTTAGGAATGTGAACTTTTAACTCGTCAAACTATTGTAACATATTTGAAAATTATAGTAATTTGATTAAAATGTTGCCTATAAGGCAAAAGGTTTAGTTAATAGAATCCATATGTAATTAAAATGCAGAACTAAATGTAATCAGACTCCAGTGACTAGTGCCTTCATATTGATAGTTTTACAATGGCCTCTGGGGTTGAAAGTTTAAATGTTATAGAATGCAACAACACTGCAGAAAACAACTTCAACTGGCAATTCAGCTGTGTTTAAGACATCAACACAGTTAACTTGATAAGATGTGAGTAACACATCCTAGATTTTTGTCGCTTTAGTAATATCATCAGTTGGCAGGTGGTAGAAGCACAGACCTATAATAATATTGGGTGGAGAACTCCACTCCACCACACTGTTACATAAGTGCCGCAGATGAAGGTTCCTGCCACAAGACAAGCCATGGCCTTCTTTTTCCTTTCTTTTTTTTTTTAAATAACAGAGTTGCTTAATTTGGGTGAATTTATTTGAATCATATGAAAGTTATAGACACAACACTGTGCACCAAGCCACAAAAAAAGTTTAAAAAAATTTTCCTGAAGTTAAAAAAATTATTTTCTCTGGACAGTTTTAAGAGTCGACATCCTGTGTTAGAGTTCTCTAATCATCACCAGCACAATTTACAATCAGAACACACAGAGAGCCAGTTTAGACCAGCTCATCTGTTGATCTTGGCAAAAACCCTTCATCTCACTGTGTGCAGCTGCCACTGGAGAGTTGGGGGACTCAGCAGAGAGCCAGAGCAGGGTGGGATGCAAGGCTGGTCAAGGCATGAACACGTAGGCCTGCTTCATTTCAACAGTTGTGTGTTGCTTTAAAAAAATAGTCTTTTTATTTTACTGCCCCCCCTCCCTTTTTAACCTGAAATTAAACGAGGACCTCTCATGAGCCACTGCGCTCCAGGCATAAGAAATTGTAATGTCTGGCTTCCAGAAACTGTCCCGTCAAAATGTGCTTCTGATTAGGTGGCTTAATTACAGCTGTGAAAACAATGTTGATTTAGGCCTCAAGATTCCAGGGCATGTCAGCCATTATTAGCTAACCTTGGACTGAATCCACCATTTTAAAACTCTGTACCACTAAAGTCACCCTGCTTGACAACTTTTTATTTAGGCAGAGAAGTTGCCAGAAGCAACACAATTTTATGCAAAATATTGTTCGATGAGCAATTTCAACTATAGTACCATTAGTGGTCATTAAGAAGATAGTTAACTTTGCACTCTATCAAGACAAGGAAGTTCTGTTTGTTAAAGCAGTAAGTTTTGAATAGTATTTTTAAAGGGTTGACTGACACAAGAATTAATTTTAATTCCTTTAATTCAGTTTTATTTCAAATCCAGCATGTTGGTTTAACCACCCAATTTTATTACACCTAAATTTTCCTGACAGTTTCATTTGCTGTTAGGAAATAAAATTGCAATTTTTTTTCAACATGGGAAATAATGGCTAGTTTTTAAAATGCTACATTTGAAACTTCTCTTGCCTCAAGTTGGTTCAGACACAACCTCAGTTTACTTTTGGAAGGAAATGAACCTCATTAAATAGTTTTTAATATTTTAATATAGTGTTTTCTCATAGTAAGAAAGCTTATTAGGTTCATGTATTTACACCTGCAAGGGAAGTAAAAATCTTAATAATTAGACAGTTCCAATATTTCAGAATTTTCAGTACAATTGTCACTGATAACATAAATAATACAGCTATATATTTAAAGTAACTCCAGTTCCATTGCCTAAAATCCCCTTCCATGCTATGAGGGTTTTTTATTTGTCAATATTTTTATAAATGGACTTTAAATAGAACATAATACCAGAAAAGGAAGTGAGCAGCTGAACAACAAACACAGTCAGTCATAATTCTTAATAATTTGGGAAGAAACTTTTGCTTGAAAATGCATGATTTATGCCAAACCGAATACCCAAGAGAAAGCTAAATGATTTCTTTAAGATGAAATCTCCTACATCCTAGACATGAAATCTAACAAAGTGGGTGGTCAAGGCACATCTTTTTCTACTACTCAGACTCATTGAATGATAACTGACTCACTTCAAACCATGTATGGACAAAGAAACTTTTGTTCAAGTTGAATTAAGCATTAATGCATAGGTAATTACTTGTGAGGAATGAATGGGTGTGTAGTTGTGTTGATGATACTGTAATTGCGCCTTGAAAGAGAAAGTCACCTTGAAAGAAAAAGTCGAAACTATTCAAAATAGTTTAAATCAGTAATCCCATAAATCTAAATAGTCTCAATAACCTCCCTTAATCATCAGATACTGTAGAAACATTTTAAGTCTTCATCTCTTCCATCTATTTAATTTAATCTTTCCATCAATCTTATGAAAGAAATATTATATATATATGTATGTATATATGTGTATACATGTATATATGTATGTTTATATATGTATATATGTATATACATGTGTGTGTGTGTATATATATATATATATTTCCCCTTATGGCAGTTGAAGCAGCTCAGTTACAGAGAGGATAAGTAATTTGCCCAACACCATGTTGTTTGGACTCTAGACTGGAACCCCTATCTTTGTGTCCAAAGCTCATGCTCTCAACTAAAATGGAAATTAACATTATTCTCGGAAAATGGGTTCCAGGTTATCCAATAGTAGGGAAGCAGTAAGAAGGACCAAGTTTATGTTGAGTATCCCTTTAGAAGAGACAAGAGCATTTAAACTCGAATAAAAGTTTTAGTTTCTCTGTAAAAAAAAAGTGTTTTTTTTTTTCTTTCAGTAAAAAAA